CTGTGTGCCCTTGGGATCGCCCCTACCCCGACAGCCCTCCTCCTGCGGATCCCCAAACACTCGGGGAGGTACCGAAACTACTTGGGGGGAGGGGGGTACTGTAGAACCTAGTCACTTAAAATGCGGAGAGAATGGGAGATTCCGGGAGCGGCGGGCACTGTTAACTGCAAAGCTTGTTTCAAGCTAAACCCTAATCTGTGTGGATTTGATTCTGAACAAGAACTGCAGCCTGACATTAACCTCCCCCTAGCCTATTTTCACAAACCCTCCGGTCCTTCCGACGCCCTCTGCTTTCAGGTAACCGACCGCAGCCCCGGACCAGCAGCCTGGCCAGTCCTCGCCTCCACAGCGCGCCGCGCGCCCCCGTTTCCGCCCGGAGGCCTTTGTGCCGGAGCAGAACGTTCCAGACACAGACGTCAGCACCCGAGGGCGGGAGCGGATTGGCGGAGAGCGGGCCGGCCGGGAACGCGCTGGGCGGAGTCCGGCGGCGGCGGCGCGCGGGCGGCCGCTGGGGGGCGCGCGCGGCCTAGCGGGGGGCCGCCGGTCCGCCGCGCCTGCGCAGTCACAGCCGCGCGGTTACGTAACCAGTACCTCGGGGCTGTGGCCCCGGGCGGGGGCGACCGGCTGCCTGGAATCCGAAATTTTGAAACGTTGTTGTCTCCGTCGCCATTTCCTCGCAGCCTGGGGATCTGGGAGCGAGGCGATCTGGGTTTGATGGGCGCTGCCATGTGGCAGCTGCGTGCTATTAAGTAACCTTTCTTTGAGCTTTGGCTTACAGAGTTAAAGAGTTCAGTGTTGGGACTGGAGTTGTGGTACCACAAAGCTGCTAGCCTGCACATGCGTGTCGCGTATGTGCAGGCCTGCCTGCTCGGCCGGTGCGGTCCAGCTCCCTACACTGATGTGCGTGCGAAGGCAGAGGAGGATGGACCGTCACCCATATGAAAGACCAGGATGGAGTTTCTTGCTTCAGCCGGACAATCCTTGCAGACGGTAGGGGTGTGAACAGAGGTGTCTCTCCCTCACTAGCTTTCAAATAAATCCTTTAAAAAATGGAAATGGGAGTAGGTTGTAAGGACTAAAGGAGATAATGGGGTTTCACCACAGAGGCCATGAACTCCAGGATGCAGGCTAAACATGGCAGAAGTTCCCTGATGGCAGTTCAGTGCCTCTTGGTGCCACCTCGCTGGCCAAGGGGCTGAGGGGCAGGAGAGAAGCAGCAAGGGGCAGACATGATGGCTTAACTAGCTAATCCTCTGCCGGCAGGTGGGAGCATCCCCTGTGGGTGCCCATTTCTGTCCTCACTGCTCTACTTCCCATCCAGCTCTCCATTTGTGGGCTGGGAAAAAGTAGAAGACGGCCCAAAGCCTTGAGACCCTGTATCCACATGGGAGAAGCTCCTGGCTTTGGCTCAGCAGTCAACCAGCAGATGGAAGATCTTTCTGTCTCTCTTCTCTGTAAATCTGACTTTCCAATAAAAGTAAATGCATGTTAAAAAAAAAAAGCCAAGGGCCACGCAAGCACTTTAGAAACCACTTCAGCCTCAACAATGTGAAAATTACTGGGGAGACCACATCTGTGGAGGAATTGGCAGCAAAACCCACCCAGAGCTCCCGGAATGACCGGGGGAAGGCGCTGTCTTTCAGAACATAATGCTGCTGGTATCTCCCCAGGGTTGTGGGGTGGGGGGAGCCAGGGAAAGGGCGTGGGGGGGCACCAGTGTCCTTGCCAGTGCATTTCCTACCCTCTCCACCCTCACGCAGTGACAGTGGAGCTCTTCCAGCACCCCGAATCCTGGTGCCCAGAGGTGGGGCCGGGAATCTGCCTGGGCTCTGGCCATGCGACATGCCACGTTCTGACTGGCTGCAGTGCTGTCCCTGATGGCAAAGCCCTTCATTCTAGAAGTCAAGGAGATACCACATACTGTAGGACTATGCTTGTAAAGGTTTTGGGAGAAGTTTTCCTGCCCAACACGAGCCCCTCCATCACTCTGCTGCTTCCTAGATGTTTCACACGGGCAAGGCCGAGAGTCTGCCTTTACAGATACATTTGTTAGGCAGAATGACAGATCTTCCACCCACGGTTCACTCCCGGCACATAGCTGAACTGGCAGGACTGGACCAGCCAGGAACTTGATCTGGGCCTCCCACACGAACAGCAGGGCCCTCCACATGGGGCCGTCTTTTTGCTAAGTGTGTTAGTAAGGAACTGAATGGGAAGGAGAGGGACAGCTGGAATTCAAACAGGCCCTCAAACATGGTATGCCAGAGTCACGAGTGGGGGGCTTCAGCTGCAGCACAATGCTGGCACCCTGAGAGCTGCCTTGCCTCCCAACCCCGATAATGGGGTAATAAGATGGAAGTATTTCCATATTGCCAGTTGCCCCACTTGTGTGAGATAATCAGTGGAAGCAAACCAGTCTGACAGTCAAGGCATGTTGAAAAGAATATACATGTTGTATGTGTGTTTAATTTGAAATTTATGGATTTGTTTTGAAGCCTGGAGTCAGGCAGAGTGATCTATCTGTTGTCTCACTTCCCAGTTGGCTGTAATCGCCAGAACTGAGCCAGATTGAAGCAAGGAGCCTCCCCCGGGTCTCCCACAGCAGTGACAGGGACCCAAACACTTGGGACCCTCTTCTGCTGCTTTTCCCAGGCTATTACAAAAGAGTTGGATAGAGAATGGAGCAGCCAGTGCACATACAGGAACCGGGGCTGGGGTTGGGCCTGGTGGGGGTTATTGGAGGTCGCTCTGGCTAAGACTCAGTTCCCACTGGTGTGTGGGAGGCTGGGTGTGCAGTGAGCAGGGTTGGGCTGCGCTTCAGCATCCATTGGTGTGTGTATGAGATGGAGCTGGGACAAAACTGACCGGACAACTGCAGCCACCAGTGTGTGTGTAGGCTGCTGCGGGTGACCTACTGAGCCAGACCCCACACTGGCTGGCACACACAGGAGTCAGGACTGAGGTCACCTCTGGCAAGCTTTCTTTGGGGATACCCCCAATTGGATCACTGGACTCAAAAACTCCAACCACAGGGAAAATCACAGGATCTGTGGTCTGACCCTGGAATGTGTGTATTGGAACTGGGCCTCCTTGCTTGCTGAGGCCTACGCAGTAGATGGCATGCCCAGACACATGGGATACATGACAACCAGTTCACTGAGGCCTGCAGAAGACGTCTAGGACCATGGAGGGCAGAACAAAATGGACAACTCAATCAAACTTTGACGGCGAGTGTCTGGGTGAGGTATGACTCTAAGGTGGACTATGTCAGCCAATGGACCTTGGAAGGATTTCCTCACCCTTGGAGGAAGAAAATCAACATCTCAGAACTATCAAAACCACTTAAGCAGTACTCTCAGAACGTGTTCTGTAGTAGGGACCCTGGGATGACACAGATACTGATGCAGTTCATGTTGGGAGTGGCCCTCTCCCCTCCCTCACATATAGGAAGGAAAAAAAATTGGAAGCAATAGTCTCAGGCCCGGCGCCGTGGCCTACTAACTAAAGTCCTCGCCTTGAACGTGCCAAGATCCCATATGGGTGCCGCTTAATGTCCCAGCAGCTCCACTTCCCATCCAGCAGCTCCCTGCTTCTGGCATGGGAAAAGCAGTTGAGGACGGCCCAAAGCCTTAGGATCCTGCACCCGCGTGGGAGACCTGGAAGAGCTCCTGGCTCCTGGCTTCAGAGCAGCACCGGCCGTTGCACTCGGGGAGTGAATCATAGGACTGAAGATATTTCTCTCTCTCTCCTCCTTTCTGTATATCTGCCTTTCCAATAAAAATAAAATAAATCTTGAACAAGCAGGAGCCTGTTGGGATGCTGGAAAGTTCTTGATCTTTTTGGTGGAGGTGGTGGATATACAGATGTATACCTAGAAAAGATTTACTAAGCAAGTGTAGCATATTTTATATGTCACATCTTGATTTGAAAAAAAAAAAAGTGTAGTCAGAATTAGTTGTAACATTATAAAACTATTATCAGCAAATGTTTGAGCAGCTCAAAATCCTGTGGCAACAACTGGTGTCCAGGCCGCCTGGATGCATGGTTTGGCGTGTCACTTCACTGTCCCTACTCAGCCAGGGTCAGAGACGGCAATGGCTCCCTGTGTTTGTCCCTTGCCTATGGCACCTGAGCCACGTGGCTCTGCACTATGGTGCCTCTCCAGAATTTCGGCGGCCCCACAACCTCAGAGGCACATCAACGCTCCCGCTGCTGCCCAGGAGGAGCCACGCGGGCCAATCTGCCAAATGGGCATCACCCGCAGCCGGGAGTGGGGAAACTGAGGCCAAAACCGAGAGGAGACCCCTGAACTAGGGATAGCCAGACCTGTCGGACACCGCGACAGAGAGAGAGAAGTGAGAAGTCGCATCACGCCCCCTTCTTCTCAGCGGGCCTCAAAGATGCCGAACTCCCGTAATGCCATCACAGGACTAATTCAGAGCTGGGGCTGCGAGTGGGGCAGGGCCTCGGGGTGGTCCCCTAAACCCTTCACAAGGCGCCCCCCGGGAGGAAGAGAGTTCACCGGCAGGTGGTGCCGGTGCAGCGGGGTTCTGGGAAGCTCGGGGCTCGGCCGGCTGGGCCGGGCGGGGACCAGAGGGTTAACTATCCTGGGGCGGTGGGGGAGGAGCGAGGGGCGGGGCCTGGCTGGGGGCGGGGCTGGAGGCGGAAGCGGCCGGCCACCCCGGCTCCCCTCTGCCAGGGCGCTTCCTGAGAGTCGGCCACCCCAAGGGCTGCGAAGGCGAGAGGTTCCGAGGCAGTGTGGGGGTTCGACGGACTTAAGCGGGGGGCGGCTCCGGGATGAGGCTGGAAGGGGGTGACCCGGGCCTGGAGGTGGTGAAGGCAGGGGGACGGACCAAGAAGCTTCGGGACAGCGGGGAGCTGGCGGGCAGAGGATGGGGTGCCTGGCAGAGGGCGCACCCACCCTCCATTATTCCGTGCTTCACACTTGCCTTTTCCGCCAACTCCCTTTCCAGGTCAGTCCCGAAGTGGAGTTCAACTTTCCAAAGAGAGGAGCCTGCCTCCTCCCAGCTTGCACGACCCTGAGGAGGTGCCCCGTTCCTCACCTCCATGGGCCAGACGGCCCTGGCCGGGGGCAGCAGCAGCACGCCCGCCCCGCAGGCCCCGTACCCCGACGGCCTGGAGGAGCTGCTGGCGGCTCCACCTCCTGACCTGGGGGCCCAGCGGCGCCATGGCTGGAACCCCGAGGACTGCTCGGAGAACATCGTGGTCAAGGAAGGGGGCTTGTGCTTTGAGCGGCGGCCGGTAGCCCAGAGCACCGACGGGGCCCGGGGGAAGAGGGGCTACTCGCGGGGCCTGCACGCCTGGGAGATCAGCTGGCCCCGCGAGCAGAGGGGCACCCACGCCGTGGTGGGCGTAGCCACGGCCCGGGCCCCTCTGCAGGCTGACCACTACGCGGCGCTGCTGGGCAGCAACAGCGAGTCGTGGGGCTGGGACCTGGGGCGGGGAAAGTTGTACCATCAGAGCAAGGGGCCCGGGGCCCCCCAGTACCCCGCCGGACCCCAGGGGGAGCAGCTGGAGGTGCCCGAGAGGCTCCTGGTGGTGCTGGACATGGAGGAGGGGACGCTGGGCTACGCTATCGGGGGAACCTACCTGGGGCCAGCCTTCCATGGTCTGAAGGGCAGGACCCTGTACCCGGCAGTAAGCGCTGTCTGGGGACAGTGCCAGGTCCGCATCCGCTACCTGGGCGAAAGGAGAGGTGAGGCCTGGGGCAGGTGGGGCTGCAGGCTGTTACTTGGTGGTGGGGTGGTTTGGGGACCTGCCAGGGAGCAGCTGAAGGTGGTCGGGTCTGTGAACGGCTGTAGCCTAGGCTCGGAATGGCACCTTACTGTAGGCCTCTAGCCAGTAAGTAGTAGACGCCCCTAGGGTGCAAAGGGTTACTGGGTGTGCTGGTCCCAGAGGATGACGGTTACCAGGCACCCAGGGTGGAGCTTATTCCTTGGGCTGTGGCCTCTCTGCCACATGGGAACTAGGGATGTGTGTGGCTGTGTCTGCCTCCCTTTCTTCCTTACCAGTTTAACTGGGAGTCTCTCCCACCTGCGATGGGGGATGTAGGTCCCCACCCCAGTAGCCAGGGTGGGGCAGGCAGGTGGAGGTGGGGAAGCCTCAATGGTCCCTGTAGTTGGGAGGGTCTGGCTGCCAGCTGCACCCCTACTCCACTTACCCTCCCTTCCCTCTCTCCCCTAGCCGAGCCACATTCCCTGTTGCACCTGAGCCGCCGGCGTGTGCGCCACACCCTGGGGCATGCACGGCTGGGCCAGGTAGCCGCTCTGCCCTTGCCCCCAGCCATGAAGCGCTACCTGCTCTACCAGTGACCCTCCAAGACTACACAGGCTGAAGGAGTCTGGGCACCACCTCAACACCCCAGGACTGAGGGGAGGGGCCTACAGCTGCTGTGGCTGGGGGAGGTGAGGCAGGACCCCTCTGCTAAGCCAGCAGTCAGGCCTGGTGGGCAAGGCACCTCAAGTAAAGGAAGTACAGACTGTGTTGTTACACAAACCTGTGCGTGATCTTTTTCGCAAAGGGATAAAGCCCCATAGCTGCTTCAGCAAGGAGAGCGGTTGTGTGAGCAAGCACAGTGAGAGGCCACCAGGCTCTCTGCTGGCTGTTTTATTTCCCTCACCCACAAGCCGGGTGGCTCACAACACGCACAGGCGGTCGGCACCATGGGGGAGGTGGCATCCTGCCCTCGCTGGGGCTCCTGGGGATCAAGGAGCAAGTGCCCCCTCCTCAACTGAGGAGGAACCAGCTGGGTGACATGTTGAGTTCTAACCATTACAGTAAGTGGACAAGTATTTGGCCTGGTCCCGACCACGACGAAGGGGAGATGGGAATGGCGAGGGAAGGGCAAGATTGGGACACCACTGGAAGCGCGTGCAGAGGAGGGGCCATGGCTGGGCTTCTTCTGGGCTGTCCTAGTAGGTGTTGGCTTGGCAGCGCGGGCAAGGGATAGTGGCTGGGCCTATTGCTTGGCATTGATGATATCCACGAACTCGGGCTTGAGGGAGGCGCCTCCCACAAGGAAGCCGTCCACATCTGCCTGGCTGGCCAGCTCCTTGCAGGTTGCTCCAGTCACAGACCCTGGGAGGGGGGGCATGTGGACAATGAGGCTGGCACCCAGCAGGCTCTGAGCCCTCCCCACTCAAGGCCTGAACTGGTCCCACTCACCTCCATAAATGATGCGGGTGCTCTGGGCTACTGCATCTGACACGTTGGATTTGAGCCATCCTCGGAGCTTCTCATGTACTTCCTGGGCCTGGCATGGGAAACCAGGTTGAGCAACACCCGCCCACTCTCAATGCCCCTTACCCCAAGGGAAAAAAGTTCAGCACTGTTAGGTGTGCTTTCCAGGTCAGGGCCCTGGGACCAGGCAGCCTCCCTTGACCTGCCAGTAGGTGTCGCCAACAGGGCGGAATTACCTGTTGGGGCGTTGCCGTCTTGCCGGTTCCGATGGCCCACACGGGCTCGTAGGCCAGGACGACTTTGCTCCAGTCCTTCACATTATCTGCAGGCCAGAGAGCAGAGATAGATACAGGGCAGGGTGGACGGGAAGGAGATAGCCAAGAGTGATGAGGCGTACTGCTCCTGCCAGAGGCTCAGGCTGCACCTAGACCTCCGTGGGAGGACCTGGCGAAGGTTCCTTGTCCTCTTTCGCCTTCCCGAGCACTGCCTGGGGATCGAGCGCCTCACTCCACCCCCGGTGTTGCCGGGCCCCCTCGCTGGGCTCTCCAGACGTACCTGCGATGACCTTGGTCTGCTCAAAAACGACCTTCTCAGTGATGCCAGCTTCCCTCTCATCCAGCTTCTCGCCGATGCAGGCAATCACCCCAAGCCCCTCTGCCAGGGCATGGGCCACCTTCTGCCCAATCAGCTGTGGACGACAAGCACCTGGTGAGGCCTGCCTGGCAGGAGCAGGCCTCCCCTGCCATTCCTCCGCGGGCACTCACCTCGTCTGACTCCCCGAAGACATGCCTTCTCTCAGAGTGGCCCAGGATCACCCACGTGGCTCCGCAGTCCTTGATCATGCCAGGGCTAATGGGCGCACAGGAGGGGGAAAGCCCGAGAGCTTCAGCAGGGAACACCCCCCCCCCACGGCTGTCCCCAGCACCCTCCTCTCCACTGCCACCTCACCTAATTTCCCCGGTGAAGGCCCCGTTAGCCACTTTGTAGCAGTTCTGGGCGGCCACAGCAATCTTGGCATCCAGCTTCTGGCGGGCGAAGTCAATGTAGGCAGTGGGGGCTGCGCACACCACCTCTGGGCACGGGGTGGGGGGCGGGTCAGAGGGAAGAGGGCCTTCCACTGGGTCTTGGCTGGGCTCTCTGACCCCCCTCCCCCACAGTGATGACCTTTGTCCATTTCCCAGGCACTCTAGGCCTGCACCCAACTCCTGCGAGCTGTCCACATGCCCCCCGCAGGCCAGGGCCTCACCCTGCCCTCTGCTCTTTTACCAGCCGTGGCTCCGGTTTCTTCGGGCTATTCTGGGAATGGGCACCTCCCAGACTCAGCATTCTCCGGGGTCAGGCCTGCCTCTCTTCTAAAAGAGCCCACCCCCACTTTCTCCAGCAAGGAAAGGATTTTTAGCAAAAGGAGAAGGGCCCCACTCCTCAGGTTTCTTCTGGGTTTTTTGGGGGGGAGGGGAAGGGGGGGTTTAAAATAAATGAGGAAAAGGGCCCCACTCCTCAGGTTTCTTATGGGGTTTTTTTTTGGGGGGGGGGGTGGTTAAAATAAACAAGAAAAGGATGTTTCTTGGATGCGACCCGTGGTTGTGTGACCCGAGGGAAGGGGCGGGAGGGAGAGCAAGGATGGCGGTTTGGGCCATGCCCCTGGGTGTGGAGGAGCTGATGGGCTCACTGAGATTTCCCCTTTGCAAGCCGGGGAAGGCCGCAAGCCAGCTCCTCACTACCAAATGCCTCAGCCCATTTGCAACCTGCTCAGTTCCTCCCGTGTAAGCGGCTCCGGCTGCAAAGGGGAAGGGATGGGAGCGCCAGGGCTGAGGCCTGGCGGGGGGCGGGGAGGAATCTCGGGCTACGTGCAGCGGCGCACGCTGCCGGCGCCCAGGAGCAGGGGGCTGGGGCCCTCCAGCAAGCCCGACCACGACCTCCGCGCGGGGGCTGCAACCTGCTTTCCTCTTCCGCCCACCTAGCCTCAGGTCCGCTCCTAGCCCCCACACCCCCACCCCCAGCCTGGCGGTGCAGCCCCAGTCCACCATCAAGGGCCATCTTCCTCCCAGGGAACCAACAAGTCCTTTGGGGCTCTACGGTCCGTGATGTCCGTAAAATGCCCCATTTCTCTTCCCCCTCCACACGACCCTGGCGTCACAGCTGCGGGGGAGGGTCACTGCACAGGAGGGAGCCAAAGGCCTGGACACCTAACCGCCCTCGCCCCCCAGCCTTGTGCCCAGATCCACGCGGACGCCGAACTGCCCGAGCCCTTATGCCAGGCCTCACCGGTGTCGGCTGGCACCTTGGCTGCGTTCAGGGTGGTGATGAGCTCCCCCAGGTTCTTCTTCCTCCCGTTCATCTTCCAGTTACCCCCAACGAAGAACTTCCTGGAAGGCGCCATGGCGTTAGGCTTTGGGCACTGAAGGTCACTAGCCGCGGTCTTTCGCGGCCCCTGCTGGCTTATATAGAGCGCGGAGAAGTGAAACTCCGCCCCTTGCCCCGACCCAGCCATGATGGATCCGCCCCTGCCTCTCCGTCCGCCCTCTTTCCTCCCTCCCGCCGCCCGCTGGCGCAGGGCTCTGACGTTTCTCCTTTCTCCTAGCAACGCGTCCGGGGCTTGCAGAGTCGCCCCTACAGCAGCTGCCTGACCACTGGAGGCGCGGAACTGGGACCCTAGGCGCGCAGCGTAATCTACTGAAGACTTCGGCCCCAAGGCCCAGCGTTGATTGTTTCGTCCACAAGGGCTGGGAAAACGCGGAGTGCGCACATCTGGCTCTGGGAAAGGGATCCCTGGCCTCCATCAGAGCCGCTGCTGTTTTGCTCACGTTGGTGTGAACCGTGCAAGTAGGAGGGGGTTCCGGAGCTACGGGAACCCTCCGCCCTGCCTCCTCAGAGCCCCAGCCGGCCAAGCACGATCAGGAGCTGAGGCCCAAGCTGAGGGTACGCTCACCCTGGGGGACACTGCAGAGTACCCTTCTTTTTTGGCTTAGTGCTCTGGCAATGAGACCCCACTCCATTCCCCATCGCTCCCCTGAGACCCAACTCCACTCCCCCCATGTTTTCAAGAGTTCTGGCTGGCGAGAAGCGGGAGAGCTGCCGCTGGAGGGCGTGGCAGGACGAGGTGCTGGCTGGGGCAGCTTCCTGCCAGCTGCCTTGCCCAGGAAAGTGGAGCCCCTCCCCCCCAAGCGATCAGACCGGGACACAATTCAGCCACTGTACTTTTATTCACATCGTGTGTTTTGGCATTTTCCAGAGAACAGGGAAGAGACAGGATGGAGGGCTGAGGCAGGAGGGCAGGAGGAGGGGTGAGATATTCCGTGTCCCTCCTACCCCTCCTTGCCCAACCACCCGGGGACAAACACAAAGGGCAAGGGGAGCCACAGGCCCCCTTGCCCTGGAACAGGGGGTGCACAAAGCTATACCCAGACCCACATCCACGCCCACTCACACACGTGAGACCCTCCACTCCACAGCAGGGGCGGGGCGGAATGACACAGAAGCAGAGGACTGGCCCCAAGGGCCAGGGAAGTGAAGGCTGCGGGCAGCCAGGCGGGCAGTACCCGGCCTGCCCCCACTGGAAGCCTGCCTGCAGAGTGCCCCTCCTGTAGGCCTGGCCATCCACCCTCAGCCTCCAGCTTCTTCCCTGCTGCTGGGGACAAACAGAAAAAGGGACAGGGCAGGACAGGGGGTCTCCAGTCCATCCCTCAGGCCAGGGGCTGGTGCCCTACCCTCGGCTAAGGGGCGAGGGCGGGCTCTTAGCTGGCCACTCTCTGGTAGAAATAGATGTAGCCCAGGTCCTTGGGCGGCTTCTCGGAGGCACACACTTTCTGGTCGTTGTAGATCACCCACCTGGAATACAGCCGGAGGGACATAAAGGGATGAACCAATGGGGCAGCTACCCACATCTCTCCAACTCGGTCCCTGCATTGTGAGCCCCAGGCGCCCAGTCTGCTGGCAGGCCGCCCTGTCTCAGGGAGTGGCCCATCTCACTAGGGTCACTGCCCCTAACTGGAGTCCTCAGGTCCCTGGGTCTTTGCCACCACCCCCCATCCATTCCAGGAGGCTTGGGGCCAGAGAACTTTCTGTGGAGGGCCAAGGTCTAAGGAGCTGCAGGCATGAAAATGCCCAGTCCACACACAAGCAAGGCAGGATGGCTGTTTCCTGGTGGCCAGGTTCAGGCCTTGGCAGCACTCTGCCAGTCCCTGCTGACCACGAAGTGCTCCCACACTCCCAGGGGGAACCTGTGTCCCCATGACAAACACTGCCCTTCCTCAGCCCCACGTCAGGCCGCCAGCCCTCACCTGCCCTCCTTCTTGATGTGGCAGACGTAGTGACCACACATGGTAGAGGTGCCCATGTGACTAATGAAGGCAAAGAGCTGATACTCTGGGGGAAAGAAGGGGGTAGAGAAGAGGGGAGGGCTCCCTGAGTGATGGTGCCAAGACACGGGCTCACACGCAGCACATGCACTCAGGGACGGTGGGGCAGGTCCAGGGCGCAAGGCCATCCTCTAGAACCCACCCTTAGCAGTCACACTGGTGGGAAGGCACTGCTGCCCTGGAACGAGTGGCTAGTCTACCAGGCCCATCCTGCTTCCCGGGGACACTCACTTCCGGGCCCGTCCCGGACTTTGGGTCCCACTGGCACAGATTCAGAGATGGAGTCGGCGGCTGAGCGGCCCTCGGAGATGTCCATGGCGGCCTCTGCATCCAGGTCGTCAATGTGGCTGAAGATCCAGTCCACAGCCCGCTCTAAGCTATTGTTCTTGGAGAGGAGGGAGCTGTTATTCCTTCTAGCAAGCTCCAGGCCAGGCCACGCAGCCAGTAGAGCCCCCAGAGGCAGGGCTCCCTGCCTGGAGCTGAGCCCACCCAGGCCTCCGTTCTGTTCCTGGTCAGCCCTCCACCCTCAGGCCCCACCTCTGTAGCCGGGGCAATCCTACCGTGGCCCTCAGGGCTTTCAGGGCCTGGTCCCGGGAGAAGCCCATGGAGACGATGGTGGTCACGCAGTCCTCAGGTGGGGGCTCAGCTGCTGCGCTGGTTGAGCCAGGCCCGCTGGAGCCCGGCAGGATGAGGGGGTTTGCAAAATCTGTGGGTGCGCATGGGTTAAAGGGCCTGGGTGGAAGACGCAGGCCCTGGCCCACCCTACCACTCCTGCCCGCCTACCTGGATCGTCCATATGCGACATGACCCAGTTCATGGCAGCCTCAGCCCCACTGTTGCCCGTGTAGTAGACGGCCTTGCGGCAGGCATCCATGGGGAAGCCCATTTCCACCAGCTGGATGATGACCGACTCATCGAGCATGGGTGCTGCAGGGGGGACTGTGCCTCAGTGCACCGTCTGCCATGGCCACTCTGCTCTTCCTCGCCCGCTCCCCGCAGGCCAGCCCCCTTGCCTTCCCACTGTAACCCACCCCATGCACTGTTCTGTGCACTGCCACAGATCCCAGGGCTAAAGTGACCACACAACATCACAGTCTGTGACCCCAAAGGCTGTGGAGCCTCTGGCCATCTTCAGGAATGGTCCTTTCTCTGGAGCAAGCTGCCTCCCAACCCCAACTGAGGGGATCCTTTGGGTGGGAAATAAGGAGCTGGTGCAACTCCTAGCCCCACGGTGGGTGCAGCTACGAGTGCTCCAATCAGTGTCACAGGCGGAGGGAAGTTGAAAGGGAGGAGAGGAGAAACACAAAGGACAGGGCCGGGGGAGCAAGGCAGAGAGGCCCCCCACGAGCAAGGAGAGAGACAGGCAGGAAGCATCACTAACATGTCGGAGAGGAGAGGTGAGGGGAGCAGAAGGAGTCTTCGTCTTCGTTGCCATAGAAACCAAGGCTACCTTTGGGCTCATCTGGGGTCACCAGGGGTGGGGCAATGTCAGGCAGCTCCTCCTCTCCTGGCTGCAGCCCAGTACCCCGCAGCTGGGAGATGTCCAGCTCCTCTGGCATCTCAATGGACACATCTGCAGGTGGAACAGCAGGGAAGTGGTCACATGCGGCATCCTAGGGCCTGCCGGGAGGTTCTGCAGGCCTGTCCAGGCCCTGCCCCTAGCCTGGGCTGTAACACCGATCTGCCCAAAGGGTGTGAAGCGAGCAGGTGCCAGGGCCAGGCCAGGCGCTGTCCCCGCTGTGACACAGGATGAGCTGCTCTGGCTCAGGGGCCCTGGCTTTCAAGGGAAACCAGCAGCTCTCAAGGTATAGCCCAGGACCTGCCAGACCTAGAAGGAGGCCCAGTTGTTTCAAGATGGCCAATCTGAAAACACTGCCAATTTCAAAATTAAAACCGCAAACATCAGCGCTGGCTGTGAACCCTAACTATAAAATCAAAGGCACCTTCTGATGTTTTTGGTCAGGGCTCCTCAAGCAAGGCCCAGGTGGACCTTCAGGTACCATCTACTCCTGGGTGAAGCAGTTGAGACATGTTGAGTTTGTGTGTGCTAAGCACAGGCTCCTCTCTTGCCTATGCACCCTCCCAGCCCAGCTGCCATACGCCGTACCCAGCTTCTTGGGCACCCAGTCCAGGCCGAAGGTGAACTTCTTGATCTGGATAACCAGGTAGTCGGGGAATGAGGCAAACCGTGTGGTCCTGAGAGGAGAAAAGGTCCTGGAACTGAGGGGCCCGGGAGCTCTCCTCTCCTGAACCCCCAACCTTGTGGCTCTGCTTCTAAGGACAGATCCCCAGACAGTCTTCCCTCCCCCAGGAAAGCATCAGCTCTGGAAACCCCAGAGCCCAAGACCCCCTCAGGCAGCCCCCATGCTGGGTATCAGGAGCCAGGCGGACAGCAGCCTCAGCTGCACTAAGTGTCCTGCTCCCGCCACTAGCCAGGCAGCAGGTGCGGAGGCCACCCTAGCACCATCAGGAGACACACAAAAAGACGGGACTGTCGGGTAAGATGGACACAAGGAGTCACTTGCCCAGGCCTGTCCCAGGCCCCTCAGGGCCGGATTACCTATGCTGAAATCTACCCACAGCAGGACAACAGCCTGCAGACCCTTGGGGGCCCAGAGCCAGTACACTCACTTGATGGCCACCGACTTGGCCTGCAGCGCCGTGCTCCAGAAGTCGTCCACCTGCTCGGGCGCCCCATAGGCTTCCAGGCAGGAGCTGAAGGGCACCTGGGCTCGGACCAGCTCTGGCGGGGGCAGCTTCTCCTCCTCGGCCTGCCGCTTCTTCTCCTCATACTCCATGAGCTCCTCTGCCAAGAACATCGCCCGCTGGGTCCTCCTCGCCCCACTCTGCCAGCTCTGGGGCCCAGGCCCCCCCAAAGCCATGTGATACACAGGCCCCACCCCATGGGCCCGTGCACTGGGGCCTCTCCGGGATGGCAGCCTGCTCACCTTTGTTGAGGGCCGCATCCATGGGCACGGGCAGCTGCATGATGTAGTCCACACGCTGCGTGTACTTCACCTTCTCTGTGGCCAGGCACTTGATCTTCTCCTCCACCAAGAAGCGGAACACTTCATTGGGGTTTTCAGAGCTCCGGCAATTCCTCTATGGGAAAGAGGCAGGGTAGGGAGGCCTG